AAAAAAAAAAAAAGAGCATTTCGGGAATATAATTTGGATAATCATTTCTCTCGGCATCTACTGATGCAACTCTATCAGTCTCCACTATTTTTCTTACTGCTGTAACAGACCCTAAGAACTAGTATACTGTAAATCAACACACACACACAAACACACACACACACAAGCCAAAACATAAAACAAGCACCCTAGAGCCAACCAAGATTTAAGGCCACAATGCTTTTTTTTTTTTTAATGTTTACTTATTTTTGAGAGACAGAATGTGAGTGGGGAGGGGCAGAGAGAGAGCAAGACACAGAATTGGAAGCAGGCTCCAGGCTCCGAGCTGTCAGAACATAGCCCCATGTGGGGCTGAAACTCACAAGCTGTGAGATCATGACCTTAGCTCAAGTCGGACACTCAACTGAGCCACCCAGGCACCCCAAGGCCACAATGCTTGTTAATGGGACAGAAAGAAACAAAAGCCAGGTCTGGTGACTCCTTGCTACAAGTGATTATTGGCTAAGGTTTTCTTTAGTAATTTTGTACCAAAACTAATATGCAATATTACTCAAAATATTTTTTTGCAAGGCTTTTGGATTACAAACCATTTCCACTGTAAAATCGCTTAAGTAGTATGATGTTTTTATTCTCGGTTTAAGAAATACCTTTTACAAGATAGAGGTTTTATTGTACTTCAACATTTAAAAAGAATTCTACCGAATCTATTAGGGAGACAGTTTTGTTTTTGTTTTACTTTTAAATGTTTATTTATTGAGAGAGAGACAGAAGCAGAGCATGAGCAGGGGAGGGGCAGAGAGGAAGACAAAGAATCTGAAGCAGGCTCCAGACTCTGAGCTGTCCACACACAGCCTAATGCAGGCCTCGAACCCACGAACTATGAGATCATGACCTGAGCTGAAGCTGGATGCTTAACCAACTGAGCCACCCAGGTGCCCCATACTTTTTAAAGTTTATTTATTTTGAGAGAGTAAGTGATTGCACGCGCACGCAAGCGGGTAGGGGCAGAGAGACGGAGAGAGACAGAATCCCAAGCAGGCTTTGCACTGTCAGTGCAGAGCTCGACTCAGGGCTCAAATCCACAAACCACAAGACCATGACCTGAGCTGAAACCAAGAGTCGGCCACTTAACTGACTGAGCCACCCAGCCGTCCCAGGAGTCAGTTCTTTTTTACACCTCTCTTATTTCATCCTGATGCTGGATTAAGAGCCTTGTTGTTGATCTCATTTGGTATTCATGTTCTGACGTCAGCTATTTCAAATACATTAGTAATACAACTATGCAGATCATCCTCTAAAAACATGTTGTTTTCTGACTTTTATCCTCAAAAATTAGGCCAACTATTTGTTGATTTTATGGTCTTTTCAAAGATCAAACCTATCATTTTCCTTTAGTTCCTATTATTTTCACCCTTTTACTTATCGTCCCAAATCCAGTGCACACTATTTAATAAATGTCCATTACCTTATAAAGTTAATTTCTTTTTCTTGCTAATATAGATATTGAAGTACATCTCAATTTTAAAATATATTATCACATATTTCCTTTTTATTCTAACACACTTATATGTACATTTCTATCGCATTCTATACTTTAAAATACTATAAAATACATCGTCATAATTGAATCCTACAACCTGGTATTTCTACATTCAGATGGTAGGTCTGTGACTCAAATGCAGGTTCTATGATTCTAGATCTGGAGTTCTTTCTATTATACCACATTGACTCAATGTCCAATCTGACTCAGGTATTTTAAGAAAGTTTTAAAAATTATCTGAGAGATTAGTCTTTTTTAGGTTATTTATGTTATGTACGACAAGCGAATAAAACGTATGAACTCTTAATCACCTTAAATCATTTTCTGAATGTAAAGTTTGTGTTTTTATAGCTAGAGAGTTTACTTTTCTGTTAGTTAGGTTTTAATGCAAGCTTCTACTTCAGTGCCTTCTACTTAAGTAACTTATTCGAGTCACTTAAAGGAAGCCTGCCTAAAATTTCACCTATAAAATGATGGAATTAGGGGCGCCTGGCTGGCTCAGTCAGTAGAGCATACGATTCTTAATCTCAGGGCTGTGAATTCGAGCTCCACATTGGGTGCAGGATTACTTAAAAAAAAAAAAAAATCTAAAATGATGAAATTATACTAAATTAATGGTTCTCAAGCTAGGGTCCCTAGGCATCTCAGTTTCCATGAAGATAATGAAAAAGGATCTGTAGGCCATTTCTAACTTTTAAAAAGCCTAAAAAAATCATGTTGATCTATGTTAAGATTGCACAGACTAACTAAAACATCAAGCCTCTTTGTCTTAGGCTAGAATTACAAGTGAAAACAAAATGTATGAATTCTTAAGTATCATTTGGTTTGACAGCTGAAGAAAATTTCTAAATATAGTATGCTACTATAATTTATAATAAGAAAATATTTGCTCTTCATGCCTATTTCTGGCACAGGGCTCCTAAGTGATAAAGGAATTTGGAATTTCCTAAGTGATAAATGTGTCTTGTTTATGTTAATAAGGTAACTTCTGGAAAGCACCTAAAGATGGGGGCCGGTTGACAGGAAAAACAACCATTAATCAGAGGATCAGAACTTTCAGTCCCACCCCAGATCTCCGGAAAACCCAACAGGACAGGGTTTGGGAGCTTCCAGGTTAATGGAGATGGGAGAGAGTGGCCCGACTGGAAAGGGCATAAAAGCTCCGTGCCCTTTCCCCTTTCCTTGCCCTGTGCATCCTTTTACAGTAAGCTGGTAATCTAGTAAGTACAATGTTCTTCTAGAGAGTTCTATAAGCCCTTCTAGCAAATTAATCAAACCCAAGGAGGGTGTCATGGGAACCTCTGATCTACAGCCAGCCAGTCAGAAGCACAGGCGACAGACAACCTGGACTTGTGAGTGGTGTCGGGTCTGTCTATCTCCAGGTAGATGGCGTCAGAACGGAGTTAAATTTGTGGGACACCACAGAGAACTGAGCTAACTGCTAGGTGATGTCGGGGAAAGAACAGACAAATTGGAATTGGGTGTCAGAATCGTACATGAAAACCAAGGGCAGGGAGGGAGCTGGGTAGAAACCAAGGAGTCCAAAAGTTCTAAGAGTTTTTACGGGTTGCTAGGAGCTTTCTTACAGTACCATATGGTGGACACCCGGCAACTCTTACCAGTGTCAATAAAGAGACTGACAACAAGACCTACAGGATGGTTACGCAAAAATCCAGGGCAAATTCTCTACTGGCTGCCATCATTAGCTGACTACACATACCTGGATGAGGTCCAAGATTCCAAGTTCACTCTCGGATGAATCCACACAAAACACAAAGTACAGTGTAGCATAGTGCCGATAGATCAGTTTGTAGTCGGAGCCACCAATCAAACTGTGGAAAATGGGAAACATTTAAATGGCTGTATCCTAACTAAACACATCTCCAAGAAACCCTGTGTCAAAGAATGAGAACGGGCTCAACAGAAAGGGGAGGATGGGCCGAACAATAGGCCATTTCTCGCAGGGGACCAGCAACCAAGTTTGGCAGAGATGCCTAAAGCCACTTGACCTCACCTTTTCTTCTGCCATCTTCCCAGGAACCAAACCTCTAGATGAAGCACAACCAAGCAACAGCTTCCAAACGGAAGTGGGACTCTTCCTGGGCAGCTCAGGCACCCACCCGACACTTGAGGAAACAGCGATGAAGGCCACCCAATAGTAGACGTGTGGGTAGAAAACTGAAACCCATCGTTTACCTTCCACCTTCCAAGAAGTTACAGATGTTGTCATCTCGCTTGAGAACTAGATGGAAGGTCTCTCGGACAATCTGCTGTTGAATTTCTTCTGGCTGTGGAATAAAATAAATAAAGTGACTCAGTGGGGAGGTCTGAAAAACTACATTCCATGGATGGGGATACACAGGGAGAGAAATGCTTCCAAGCAGGGAATTATCGGAACATTTGGTACCAGTTTTCAGAAAAAATAAAAAATGATGAGTAAAGAAAAACTAAAAGGGAAATCTATGGAAAAATAGATTAAGACTCAGTTACAGGAATTAAGATAGGGTATATTTACCTAGATGTCTAGTCACTAACCATTATTGTCCTGATAGGTAAGGTGATACTTCCTTATAGTTAACAACCAAGGAAAGGAGAATTGATAAACTCTCCTAAAAGATCAAAGAATAACTAGAAGAGCAGTCCTGGAATATTTTGTCTTCCCCTAGAAAACATCTATGCCAATGTCAATAGGTCTAACCCTTCAAGGAGGTCAAGATGTAATCATGTAATTTTGTTTTTAAAAACCGAACTTTCCATCTTTTGCACTGACAATACGGTATAATGGGGTGTTACTGAGGAAGACAGAAAAAATTCTATTTACAGATTAGAATTTGGAATAGAGTTCTACTTTTTTTTAACTACTATATACAAGAAAGCTCAACTGTAATAACATCTCTTGATAACTTACACTGATTTCTATTTATACAGAGGAGGTTCACAGTAAGTATGGTTTTAAAAAAGGATGATGATGGGGCGCCTGGGTGGCGCAGTCGGTTAAGCGTCCGA